CTCCTTGTGCAATTAAAAACCTGAACAGCTGAATAGCTGGCTTTGGAAAGCACCAGTTGCATTATTTACCGGGTTGGTTTATAAAGGGAGAGAAAACATCCAAGGACAGAAAAAGAATTTCATGGACACTTCAATAATGCATCAAAACTATAGTGCATTTTACCATCTTAATATTTTTTTTTGCCCTCCCTTCCATTAGGGGAGAGCGAGAAAACATATACCAGGGCTGCATCTCCAAAATAGTTTGCAAGAACGAATTATGGAGGGGAAGGAAGGAAAAAACCCCATCAGAAAATCAAGACGACTCCAATGTTCCACTACGGTTACTGACATTTTTTCTAACCTTAAGTCCTGCAACTACAGCTTATATAGTCTCTAAAAAAGTCCTATGAAGGGGGCTGAGAGGAGGACAGGTTTAATATGAAATTAAGCTCATGTACAAGGAAGAAATGTTGCAGGAAAAACATTTTAACAGTTTAATCCTGTAAAAAGCAAATGTGTACTCACACTAATAGAAGAGTCAGAGCACCTTTTAGCCCTCCGTTACCTCTAGCATCAGTACTGCACCACGGCCTTTGCCATGGCTGAGGGGGTATGCAGCTCGGAGAAAGCAACCCCAAGCAACCATCAGAGGTGACTAACGACCACAATTAATAAGTATCAGACTACACAGATCTGTGCTTGGTGAATGTACACAAGGAGGTTACAGCCCGTGGTGGCACCAGAACATTATTCTGCATGAGTCTGCAAGAATGGGTACACTTTAAAATGTTACCAACATCGTTAACAAAACGTAACGCAAAGTAACTCCTGTGCATGAAAAGCAGACACTTGGGAGAACCCACTTCTGAATTGACTCTAATTTCAGTCTTAGACTTTAAACACCTTCCAGTAGCATCATCAGTGACTTGTTTAGGTTTATTTTGTGCAAGACTCTGACATGTGCTTTGAAGAAAAATGCTGCAAAAAATGTAGAACAGGAAATTAATAGGTTTTTCAGTCCTCTGACAAAACTGAGTCAGAAAGACTGTAACCTGCACTAAGTTGGCAAATATTTTGGTCAGAATTATTTTTAAATTCGCATTTGACTCAGCAAACAGCTTGATGGGGAAACTGAGAATGCAAACAGGGCTTTTTTGTGCTCAAGTGACTCAGGAGCATTTTAAGTCTCAGCGAGTCCCCATGTCACTAAAGCATTTAACAACACTTGACTGGCAGCATAACCCATATTTAGAGACATTAAGAACCCAGCTGTCATCTTTGGCATCTAAATAAACTGATCAGCTGTAGGCACAGTTATCAAGAAGCGCATAAAGACACGGAGTCTTTGCTCTCATTGCTAACAGAAGACTACCAGAAGTGGCATAGGTGCCTCTGTTTATGTTATGGTACAGAAATAACTTTGGTTGGTGCAATAAGTCTTCTGATACAACCTCAGAAATAGGCCCACTGTGCTATCTCATGTTAGCAAATACGATAAATCCAAGCAAAAACTCCAAATCCTTTGGGGGAAAGGGCCATTTATTTGTCCTACTGTACAGCACAGGAGATGTCAGTTCATAAGTGAAGTTTTTGGGGACAACAGCAACACATAGAGAAAGCACTTCAGATTCTGCAAGACTCCAGCCTGGATATATCCAGGATAACACTATGCTTACCACCAGCAACTACAAAATTTCAGAAAAACGCTCAAATAAGAAGTGCAACCCTGCACCCTTCGCGGATGGCTGTGAAGGGGAGGAGAGTGCCTTCAGATTCCTGGCTAGCTGGGTTGCTGCTTACCTATGCTAAATATTCAGATTTATTGAACATCCTCTTAAGGGCTTTACAGAGGAGTTTCAGAAGGTTAAAAATCCTGCTTCGTGTCCCTAGTGACCTGCAAAACAAAGGCAGGATGAACTCATCCTGCCCACCCAGACTTACCCGCTTTCCTCGGGGCTGGCAGTAATGACTCGAAGCAGCACATCTTTTGTATAATGGTTATGCTAAATTATTGCAAAACCAGTGTAAGGTCTCTGATAGCAAGATGTGCAAGTCGCATGCTGCAGACCTTCCTGATGTGTTTAAATCACATGCAGCTGCTCTAGTTGAACCTAGTTCTGCTAGGCTCCACTTAACACAAAACGCTGCGATGCCTTTAATTGGGCTAGTAAGCGCAACTCATTGTAAATAATTGCAGTGCAGTCCTCAGGGATGATCATTAGTAGCCACAGGCATGGAGACCCAACTGGCCACATTCATCACAGCGCCTAATTCTGCAGTTTACAGGTATTTACCAGGGATGCATTTGGTTCAGCTCTATCCTCAGCATTTGGGAGGGGAGTAAAAAGCTTCTGATTTCCCAGACATCTTTTAGTATTACACTCTGTTAATGCACTGGCCATCTGACTATGCAATTAAAGCATCACTGAAATAATTCTCCCTCGAGTAAAAGCGCTTCTCATGAACACAGGATTGATAGCATGCTAGAAAAACTCCAAGTCACGTGTATATTGCATGGTGACACAGGGGTTTAAGTACTCGCTAATTCCAAGCCAGTGTTGAAATCCCCTTGCTTATTCTTAGTTACACATTAGTGTATCATCTGTTCTGGGCCTATTTTGTACACCAGTTTCAACTTTTTTTTTTTTTAATTTAGTAATAATTTTTAGAAAAAATTTTCTCATCCTAAGCTACCAAGGTTAAAACAAGTAAGAAGTTCTCCATTTTTACTACTTTTACTGGAGTAATTTATCTCCTAATACACATATGATGACTTCATCAGCACATTTAAGGAGTGCTATGAGAAGATCTTTTAATCGTGGCGATAACTGTTTATGACAGCTGTCGTTTTGCAAGCCGTACACTTTCTGCTGAGAATGCCCAGGGAGCATTCTTACAAACACGGATCTTTTACACATGTTCAAGCCAGATTCTGCATGTAGGCATGCTACTACCACCTGCATGCAAATAAAATGCCCCAAATATTCAAGCTGCATTTAAAATGGAGCTGCTCTGGCAAGGAACATTCTTGACTCCAATTCTGAACAGCTGGAATATGTTATCAGGAGACTGCAACAGTCCAATCCAGGCATTTGATTTACTTTTAAAAAAGCATTTGCCAAAGTACTGCTGTACCTTAGTACAGAATGCCCCTTAGTACAAAACATACTTAGCAGAATGTGTCTCTCCTCTCCAAATAGGTCATGCAATAACATTACCCCTAAAATTGTATTACTTGCGTTTTAGAAAATACATAAAAGACTCCAAATCCTAAAAACTGAACATAGCCCTGTTCAGATTTATAACTAACTTGAACTTACTATAAAGTTTTATTTCAGTTGTGTGTACTCATCTATTTTTAATCCGACTTCTTAAAAGACTAATGCTTGCGTGCCCAACTGTAGATTTTTTCCCTCTCTTCCTCCTCCTAAATACAAGACTGAACTCCTTTGCTCACTTAAAAACTCAAAAAAAAGGCAAAGCTTTTAAATATGACTAAATCTCTGTAAATACAGAGAAATCTGGGGCTAGAGAGCGAGAACCCTTATCCCAAGCTCTTGTGCGCACACACAGAGAGAGAGAGAGAGAGAGAGAGAGAGAGAGAGAGAGAGAGGAGGGAACTTCAGCAGTCACATTTCTATTTGCAGAAGCTGTTCAGCCAAACTAGCAAGTGTACAGCTCCCTAGGAGCAGCAGCCCATGCACACCGGGGCACGTGGAAATCTGGGGAAGGAAGGATTAGGGTAATAAAGGATATCTCCTGAGCAAACCGGGCCTCTTCAGTTCTGCTACTTGTGGTTTTCCAACTAGGCGATTATCACTGGTCCCACTTCCATTAGTACAAATAATGCAGTGGACATAGTGACAAAACAGCAGTCAGTCACCCCCTTCAGTGGATCAAATCCCCAGACATTTCATCGTGCAAAGGAAATTCATTATTGTGCGTTTTTCAAATGAGTCTTATGAGCAGATCTTCAAAAAAGGCATTTTAAAGCTAACTCCTGCTGGCTTAAAGGGAAACAGGATTTCAGCCTCTGTGCCAAGACCCTCCGTTGTTCAGCTGTGAGCACAGAGCCTGTCTCCAGAGCCATAACCTTCAAATCTATGCCCATGAAAATGAACATCTCACCCAAGTGCAACTGCCAGCACAGCAGCAAGAGGAGACAGAAGCTGTGTATCATGCAGCATAGCAGATTTGAGCCTGAACCTTCCATCATAGATGGAAAGAACCGGCAGAATCAGCTATGCAGATGAGAAGTTACACATCCTAAATGAGCCAAGTGGTCAACGCAGTTTTCTACCCAAAAGTGTATGGGAGGACGATGTGGGTGGAATAGCTTTCTGAAGGCAACCCACTGCATTTTATTGCTCAAGCTAAAACCTCAAGTCATAAAAAAAACAAGCTCAATTGATCCTCAGCCAAACAGTAAGTAGTATCACTACCAGCTCTGCACTAGTGTTCAAAAGTCCTGGGGACTTTGGTCTGAACTCAGACCAAATTTTGGCATACTTCAGCATAATACGTAATTGCCATCACTCCCTCTTACATTGCCAGAGAACAAACTATGGCAGAAGAACAAACTATGGCAGAAGAGTGAAAATGCTCGAAATGCCACATCAGCAGCCATGAACACGGACTCAGGAGTTCATGGTCCTCAAGTTGAGCTGCTCAATCAACCAGAGCTGTGCTTTGAAAGCAAACAACACAGAAGAGAAACTGAAAATGGGAAAGCATGCTATAAAATGATGAGTCCTCAGACTACTGAAGTATCATTACACTCTCTTCAGTTATGTTTTGACTCAGCCTGCAACACGTCATTTTCAGCAGCACATCTCCATCCTAAACTTGAAGTCAGCAACTTCACAAACATCTCATGCCTAGTGTATTTAACAATCATTGCAAACAAGAAAAGCCTGGACATGGAGTTCACAGCTCTGTAAAAGCCCCATGGAAAATCACCATTGGTTTCATTAGCAAGCATTTGGCTCAGGGTACAGAAAAGAAAAAAATAAACTTACACGGTGCATGGAACATCACTAGCACAGATGAATGATCTTTTATAAACTTGTCGAAGTCCTCGTCAGTCAGGTGATAAACTACATTTTCTTCATCTGCCCAGGGAGTCTCCGGAGCCTGTGGCTGAGGTGCCTGTGGGCTGTAAGACAGACACAGCTTAGAAGCAGCTCTCTGGCGCTAAGTCAGACTGCAAAGAACCACTTTGTGCAGATGTCCATATATGCCTGACACACTAACCCTACTGAACAGCTTCCATAATTGTACCTACTGAGAACTCATACGCACCGAAACGCAAAACTGGAGGAGGAAAAAAAAAAAAATCTGCAAGAAGCTCACGAGGACATATCAGCAATGGAAGGGAATGGAGCAAGGGAATAACCAGACTGCTTGGTTATTACATTATAGAAGTCAGATGCATTTTCCGTTACTCTTTTACCCTCCTCAGCAGGATGTTCCCTTTCTCACAGCATTCACACTTTATACTTCACAGAAGCCACTGCAAATGAAGTAAAAAAGTAGTGAGCAGAAAGAGCCAACCTAATCAGTCACCTTGAATACTGACAGCGTGAATAGGGCTGACAGAGAAAGAAGTAGGTGCAGTGTTGGGACTAGGAGCTAGCCTCACAGACCATTTCCCCCAGGAATATACGGTTTTACCCTGAACAACCCTGTGATCTGGGGAAGCATCGTTATGGCCTCACTCAGCACTGGGCTTGTGGGCCTAATCCAGCAAAGCTACTCAACTGCATGCTTAACCTAAAAGGTAAGTGACATGTTCTACCCACTTGAGTATGATTGCACACGAGTTTAACCATCTTTGATGGATCAGAGCCAGACCGACTGCTCAAAGACACAGCGGCAAATCTGGAAACTGAACCCAAGCTCCTCTGGACGAGTTCAGTGCTCATCATCCTGCTGAACAATTGTTCTTGGCTTTCATTAATGTACATTAAAGGGAATTTGGCAGATGTGAACTAAACTATGCTAATTGACATTTTATTTATTAAAGCAGTGTTCACATAAAGGGCACCCAAACATACAAACATTTGGAGCCAGACTTTGAAGCTATTTTATCCTTGCCAGTTGCAGTAATGAGTTCCAAATATCCCCCAAAATTCACCAAATTCTTTGGGGTCACATCCAGATCTGTACTTTGCCATTACTGGTGAAAGCAGCTTTAACATTTTTTCATTAAAATGTATTATTGTGTTAGCTGCCTGGAACAAGGAATGGCAAACATGATAACTCATTTATCCTGCCTTGCTTATTTCTAGGCTGAAAGCCTAGTTCGATAAAAAAAGAAATGAGAGATACACACAGATTCAGACAGCAAATTCTGTTGATGTAAGCAATGGGTGTGATCCAAAAATATTAAGCAATCCATACAGAACTGTGATGCACACCTCTGCTGCTGCTTATATGATAAATGAACCAAAAAAGAAAGCAAAGATTGGAGCTGCACTCAGCCAAGCAGCTGAGAGAGAAAGAGGCAGGGTCTCCACCCACAACAGTTTACTCTCTAAAAAACTGAGCAGATAACCAGTTTGCTTGTCACCAAGCCTGTAAAAGACCAGTAACCCTCAGGTATCCTGGAAGAACAAAGGATTTCCAGAAAACACCATGACACTTAATGAATTTTGAAGGGGAGTGGGGTTGAGCAAGCAGAGCCTGATGAATATGGACATAGTGGCTACAAAGCACTGGGAGAATGCTGTGTTTAAGCAGGGCCTGGCATGACCTATTTCAGTAAGGAATTAGTAAAGCAGGCCACAAGATGTTTATTCAAGTGGCCCAATTTAAAATGCCGTGGATGCTAATACGCCTGCACAGGAGTCAGTAAGAAGCACCTCAAGGCCTGGAGGAAGCAACAAGCAACATCTGTAATGTCATTTAAAACTGAGCTAAGGCACATCCAATGCCTAAAGACCAAAAATAGGATGACAGAAGCCTGTAAGAGTTATCAAGAGCTAATTCAATTAAGAACACAGAACAAGTTCTTGATTTAACTGAGCAGCTAGTGCTAAGGAAAGACCCAAGAGAAGTCCATAAAAACAGGAAGACAAGCTAAGTGGCTGCTGAAGGCAGCAAGAAGCTGTCTGGCTTGCCTGTCATCCAGGCCGACAACAGCTACATATCAGATTAAGGAGTGGGGGGAAATATGGTATGTACAAGATAGCATCTCTGGTGTTAATGATGTCATGTGTTGGAGTAAGGCTGTATGATGGTTTTTCTCTATCATCTCAAGAAAACATCTGAAACTCCATAAGATAGTAGCCAGTGCCTATTAGGAAGATAAGAGAGGTTAAGTATCCATAAGACTGATGCATTAACACACTTCAGAGTAAGAAAGAAGCATCTTCAATAAATAGTAAAAGAAAAGGTGTTGGAGCCCTCCAAACAAGCAGCTCTTGTTCTGAGAGGAAAGAATGTGGAAAACATCCTTTCAGTAATTTAAATAATTCCAACCTTCATTAAGTTATGTCTAGTGCTCCCCAGAAAATTAGCACAGATAAGCACTTTCAGCACTTTACCAGTAACATTTAGAGGGAAGAAACAGAGAAGGAGGAGATGGAAAACAGTTGCTTTTCTGCAGCTTGTATGTAGTGTCCACAAAAAATAGGTCATTTCACATGGCTCAATGTCTGCTGGATTCTCTTTTGAGAATCTATGATGACAGCACAAGCACACACAGTGTAAAAACTCACTGGCTTTACACTCTGGCACTGCCATGCCCCTCGTCTGCAGAGCAACATCTTGCATCAGAATAACTTCCTGATTTCAATATTATACTGTTCTAAAGCACAGCCTATATATCCTGCAGCTATCAGTTTTGCCCTTGGGAAAGAATAACCCCATGTACAGCTATCAGTTTTGCCCTTGGGAACGAATAACCCCATGTGCCAGTAT